CCCCAAACCCCACCCCCTAGCCCCAAATATAAGTACACGTCATCTCTTCCTTCAAGTGTCCAGCAAGCAGAACCTTTAACATTGGTTCCATCTCCAGGCCTCTATCAGGCTATGCCTTGCCACCATCTGGCCAGCTGTCCCTCTTATCTTGACCTCACAGCTCTTCATTGTTGAAGATGCTGATCAGTGAGTGAACCATGTGTCTGTAGTTGAGATAGCTGGAGACCATGCCCCCAGATGGGGCTAGAAAATGGATATAAAAGCCATTTGTAAAAGTCCTATCACCAAACACCTGCCTGATAAATGTTTTTGTGTGTAGTCAGTATTCTAAATTATTTATTTGATTTTGAGTATATTGAGTTCAGGGCTAACAAGTCAAGTACAACTCAGAAACCGTGTGAACAATAGATCTGGATCCGGTCCTATCCTGTGCCATCTGCATCATCTCTGACATACTTGAGCCCATAGCCACAATCACTGTGGAAATCCATTTCGTGAGGGTCTTCCTCTCCTTCACTGATCCTCCATCTTTCCAAGGAATATGTCCAAAGTATCAAAGAGAAAGCTTAGCTACCCTTGCCTCCAAGAAGTATTCTGGCTGCATTTTCTCCAAGACATCTCTGCTTGTTCTTTTGGCAGTTCATGGGATAGTCAGTACTCTTCTCCAAGACTAAGGCTCAACAGCATCAATTCTTCTATCATTCATAGTCATTGTATCTTTAAATATAGACACATTTTATTGAACACAGTGGTTAATTGTTGGACAGCTTAATTTTTGACAGTTTGAACCTACTTAACAGGTCTGAGGGAGAAAGATTTGGCAATCCACTTCTGTAAAATATTCCAGTCAAGAAAACACTATAGAACATATGAAGTTGCTATGAGTGGAAGTTGACTCACTGGCACCCAATAACAACAACAAATAGAAACACATTAGGGAAGCAAGACTGGTTTTAATATTGGCATTATAAAAGCTTATGCCAGATGTGCAGAAAATCATAGTAGGTTGTGGATTGTGGCTCCACGGATGATTGACCTACCCAGAAAGAAATGTTACCCAGCTGCGACAGCCAACTCCTTTTCCAAGTATGTGGAAGGAAATTACAGATTTCACTGGCTCTTTCTGAGCACAACCATTCAAATGAGATTCGGTTTCTATGCTATTGTAATCTCTGTATTTAGTACAACCCTGTTCTTCTAAGGGAGGCTTTCCAATACGGATAGAATAATTCCTCTGTGGTCTCTTCCTTTAAGACATGACTTCAAACAGATTCAAGTCGTTTGTGTAGATTTACATGCTCTTTTCTGAACTTATTCAAGTGTCCTAAAAAGCAACATCAATGTGTCTGCATCTTCCCGGTATGCCCTTTTGAGAAGCCTGTGGTCATTTAATTACAAGTGCTTTCACAGAGCAATTAAGGACATTAGATAAATGTAACATGGATTAAAATTGAAACTTGTGCCTTTCCCCCATATTTTTTTTTAAAGACTAGGCTTGATAGGGGAAGGGATAAAACTGTCATTGGTCAATCATGAATGTGGTCATTGGATATCTGTTGTTGTTATGTGCCGTCGAGTCGTTTGCGACTCATAGCGACCCTATGCACAACAGCCCTAAACCCTGCTCTATTCTGCACCAACCGCACTGCCTCTGAC